CAAAAAAAAAAAAAAAAAAAAAAAAAAACCAATGGAAAAATATTCTCCAGTGAGGATTAACAAAAACAACCCAAAAAACCCCCCACGCTCATAGATACCTAGAACAGATTGTAGGTGAACCTTTTGGAAAATATTTGGGGAACCCTCCACCCTTTGAATGGAGCCCGGCATGAAAGTCTGAGATACTGAATGCTCTCTTTCCGGTGCCCCAAGCTGCTGAGCCTGCAGGACCGGACTTTGTGAACTAAGCCTGATCCACTGGGGAAGTGTCTCCCTCCAGGCCCGGCTGCGCCGAGGCGGCAGAGGAGCTGAGCAGCCCTGCCCTGTGGCTCCCTGGGGTCAGCTAGTTTCTCACGATCCTGCCTCCCGGAGGGTCCTTCCTCTGTGGCGTGGCTCAGGGGCCCGTGGGGTGAGCGTGGGGCAGCTTCGTAATTCTCCCTCTCCTAGCAGGGAGGAGAGTGGGTACAAACATGGGGCTGAGGGGACTCTCTGTCCCTTGATTTCTGGGCTTGAATGAAAGAAGTGTACAAGGATTCAACCTAGCAGTGAGGAAAGTGTTAGGGTTTTAGAGAAAACAACCAGCACCCCACCATGACAGGAGTGACAGCCGTGGTCCTGCCCCAGACATGGAACCTCCTGGAGAGCCCTGTAATTTTACATTTAAAGGAGTAAATTTGTGTTGATTCTGCTGAATTTAGGGGGGGAGGCAGAGGGAGGAGGTAATTTTTTTTTTTATAATTTTAAAATTTGTATACACTCACCTTGGCTCTGGGTATGAGGTGGCAGCGAAGTCAGGTGACTTCTGCTGGAGTTTTTGCCAAAATGTGCCCCCTCCACCCTGGGACACTGGGTGGGGAGGCCACTGAACTGGGGATGGGTTCCATTTCGACACACCTGAGGCTTCCTGAGCATCTGAGCACCTGCACCCGCCCGTTGGGTATTGCTGTAAGCGCTGGGAATCCTAGTCCCCAATCCAGAATCTGATTCCCTCGCCCCAATATAGCTTCCTGTTTAGTTCTTTTGGGGGTGATGTGTTCCCTCATAATCTGTGTTCCCTCAATACGGCTTTGACCAAATGGTCTTTCCCAATCTCCTGAAGTGTGAAGGATTTGTGGTCCTTATTGAAGGCCCATTTCGCTCCCCCGCCCCTGCAAGACTGAATTCTTCATGGATTTCTCTCATCATGGCCCCTCACCCCCACCCTCACCCCATTCCACCCTCTGAGGGTCCCCCAGTGGCACGCTGCAATTCACGAACTGCTGGGCCACAGATGTCCCAGTGGGCCACCTTCC